TTCAGGCCATCTTAAATGCTTCAAGACCACGTCACTGAGTGCAGGAAAGCTGAACGCGATTGCAGCACATGTTCCCCGAGCTAGACTGCGCACTCTAAAGTCATGTTGCCGCTGGCAATGATCGGTATGCCTCGATGCAACACACAATGCAAGTCTCCATAAAAATCTAGGAACCAAATCATTAGTGTCATTAGTGCGAGCGCTTCTTCAAGAAAGCTCCCCCCCACAGTGAATGGTGCATAAGTCAATGTGTTTGCTCGGATTGGGGTCTGCATTGCACCAACGGCCCGATTGAGCTACTGGCTAGGCACAACAGGCGCGTTGGCCTTGGAGCTGCAACAAGGTCTAAGGACAATGTCTGCACCAACAGTTCAAGGAACTTGGTAAACAAAAGCTGGCCAGTGAACTGGAGTGGCTGGTGGGAATAAAAAGCTTGAGTCCACCGGGGTGAACAGTGCAGCTATACAGTTGACCGGGTCAAAACAACTTGAGACTGAGATGACCTGAGTGTATGAATCTATATGAGTCTATGAGCTGATATTGTTCAGTGTCCAGAAACCCAAAACAATTTCACCTGAAATTTGTAGAAATGACGAGCCTGATGAGATGTGGTAAGGCGAGACAGGGGAGGTGAGATGACCGAGTAATAAACCAAAGTGAAAGGGGGATGCAGCAAAAAAGGTGTGTTTGGCGCCTGAGGTTCGGCAATCCCTTCGGGAATGAAGCAGCGGGGAAAAGAAATGTGAAATCCAAAGGAGAACGAAAAGAATTACACAAAAAGTATTACTGTAACTGAACGTGAAAACTGAGATTCAATGAACGGAAGCAAGAATTGATTGAGCTGGTACTGAAAACCTTTGCAGAGTTGACCCTGTTCGCAACAAGCTGACCTTGTCGATCGTTCTTCTACTTGCAAAGCGAACAGTAGTCTTCAAAACAGTGCTTCCACCAAATGACAAGGCATACGTCTCTGCTTTCTGTCAAATTGATCATTTTCACAATATATTATATATCTGGATGCAGCAAGGACACGATGGAAGTAGCTGACTGGCAAAATGTTGGTCTTTCACTTTCAAAAGCCGAATGCAGTGCAACTGATTGTGATGAGACATCAATGATGAATGTGTAGAACTTATTGAGAAAATCATCAATAGCGGATAAGTTGTTTTCTAACGGATTCGGATACGCCGGTGAGTCTATGTCTATGTTCCGTTACATTAGCTCGCCTCACCAGGCACATCATCCGGTGCTCGCTGCCCCGCCTTGCAAATCCCAAAGCAAAAACGATAGGGGGTGGCCTAAGGCCCCCCCTCACAGCCCTCCTGGTGTAAAAAATAAATTATTCTGACCACTGTCCACATAGATGTTGATTTGTGTTCCCATATGTAATTCACATTGTTGCAGAATATTTTTCAGACTTCTGTACCTGATACACCCGTCAACAGCCAGATAGGGTGTGGGTGTGGTTTGCAAAAGTATTCAAAAAAATATTCTGAATTCAAGGGTAGTACCTTAAACAAATACCTTGCTATATTATTCCATCGAACTTATTCCTGAAAATGTATTCAAACAGGTGACATGACCCCTGGAATAATCAATTAGGCCACCCCCTATCAAAAACGGCCTCAACGCGATGGCCTCCTCCACCCTAGTAACGATGGCCTCCTCCACCCTAGTAGCCATGGCTTCCTCCACCCTAGTAGCGATGGCCTCCTCCACCCTAGTAGCGATGGC